ATAAGGAGGTGCCAAGAGAGGACAGGACGGAAACAGGGAGAAGGAAGAGAAGGGAGGAGGCTCTCTGTTGACACCTGAGACGTTACTTCAGATGACGCCGCGTTCACACTTTGTGCCAAGCGAAGGTATAGGTATTGATCTGTTTTTTGAGCGAAGAGGAGAACCGCCGGCCTGCGCCAACCCCATCCTCTTTTTCCTCAAAACCAATTCGATACCTACACTTGTCCTTGGCGTGCTTTCTATTCTCACCACTTCGTGAACGGGTGGGGAGGTCGGCACGTTGCGCACGCCATAGAACTGATCGCTTTTGACTTTTTTCATCCAATTCTAATCCACATATCTCAGAGACTGGGTGGGCGTGGCTGCGCACTTCACTTGAATGAGACGGCAGCTGAGCTCTGAAGGGTATATTGTCGTTTTGGGACAATTTTAGTCATGGCTTTGTCAGCACAAGAACGACGACACATGTCTCGAATGGAAACATTTCATGAAAGACGCATCCCACGACATGTTCAAGTATTATCAAGCAAAATACGCTGCCACGCCCACTCCATCGCTGGGATGCGCAGTGTGTAGCCCTACTAAGCGGGTCAATCAAAGAAAACTAACGATAACATTCTTGTATATGTCGCCTCTGCTCGACGAACTGCTGTTGAACTTTGACAAGGCTCTCAAGTATTTTGGAGTAGATGTTGGCTCACAAACATGCTCAGGTTTAAATTCATCTTTGAGCACATTGAAAACCTTAAATAAAAATAATCAAGATCTCAGCAGACAAAGGCTTCACAAAAATGTTACCTCTTCCTGAACCACTATCAAGTCGTTTATGTAGATATCCAAATATTGAATGCAGTTATTGTAAACTACACGTTTGTCAATCGACGGCTTCATTAAAGAACTCTGAAATGGTCAATATGAGAACATTCTGGGTGCCGACGTAGTTTGGGAGGGGCATCGACCCGCGCCTCCGCATCGCTTTCTCTAATCAGGGTTCGGGCTCAGCAAAGACTATGTCATCCCTGTACCCCTACGCATACATCATATCCCAGAGATCGAGTAGGTGTGGCTGCGTACTTAGTCTGGACGTGGCGTAGGGTGCGCCTTTCGCGCCTGTTTTGCCATCCTATCTTACGCTGATTGGCAACATGATTACAGTACCTTTATCTCACAGTCGCCGCTTCACTCAGATGAAATCCGCAAACGCCCTTCTCATCGTTGTCTATCCTTGGGATAGAGAGTATCACTCAGGTCGTTTGTGTACTAAGCTTAGCCCAAGGTTTTTTGGGGAGGATATACAGAGGCTCGGCTGGATGCCCCCCCCCCAAAAAAAAACTGCGGAGTTTGGAGAATTTCAGATACATAACTGAAAGAATAATATAAAACGATAATAGTCAAGTGAACACGGAAAATAAAAAAAACAGAAGCTGAAAACAACGCACAACAACAACAGCAAGCAACGACCAGACGTCACAATAAAATGCGAAAAGATGAGAAGTTAGAATGACCGCGTAGAGCGGTTTCAGGGGGGGGGGGGTATGAACAGAGGAAAAAAGCCAAGTATTCCTTCGCAGAGACAAGCTCCTGAAAGAAGCTCCCTTCTTAATCTCCAGTCTCCATCTTACATAATAATCTAATTAAATTCAACATTCCATTAATTTCACAAAATCAGTCCATATCTTCGAAACAAATTATATAACACTGAGATTCAAAGAAGCCTGTAGCAGGAGCACCACGTAGTAACCATATATAGACCATAATAAAAATGTTCAGATTCGCGGAATTTCAGAGGAACCGGGAAAATACGTCACACCGTCACAATCTATGAGCTGGAAAACTCATAGCAAACAAAATAGACCGGCTTGATCACATAGGTTATGAGATTCACAGATCCTGACAGATTACTCGGAATTTGTCGAATATCTCCAGCAAATTAAAAAATGAGAAACGGATGTTTAAAAAACAGCCTTTGCCGCCATTGTCACTAATCCGTCCCAGTTGCCCGCGGAAAACTCGTACCATTTCACCGCCCATGGCGAAGCTTGAGTTTGGGAACCTTGTTGCTACCGATCCTCGTTATAGATGTTGATACCCATCTGGTGTATTTTTCGGTAGCAAACATGTGGGATTCAGAGGTGCTAACAGACTGAAAACTTAAACCAAATCAAATCTCGTCCCACAAATAAGCCGCCCTTTTTTGATAGGCAGTTACGGTGACAGCAAAAGTCTGTAGGTGCAGACTTGTGATGCAATGCTCTCGGATGAATCCGCGACTTCTTCCTGCTTTCATCTTTTTCTGCTCTGCTTTTCCACCGTGGTGGAGGTCCTAGGACTGATAGTGTACGTGCACAACTATAGTAGAAGCTATGGTGAGTGCGTGTTCTTGCTCTCTTCAGATCCTTTGCCGTTACTTCTTTAGAAGTTGCTTTTTTAGAGTAGTGGATTAATACTTGCTGGCGTTGGTTTAGCGGCTGTTGGTTTTGGTGCCCGATATTTAATGAGGAATCAAGCAGTAATAAAGAAAGGTCTCGAAGCGATTCCAGGCGGAGTGGTGAGCTTTATCTTATGCGCTTTTCTTTTTTTTTACAGGAAAAGCTGCACTAGTGCTATGTATTTGTCAATTCTTCTCAAAAAGATTTGTGAATTCTTGTAAAACTTACAAAGCGATTTTGGCGCTGTGCAGCTTGGGGGTGTTTCACACTTTCGCTAGTACTTTCCCGTTAGGTCCTCTTAGGTTACACGCCTCCCCTGGTGAGACCTGTAGAATTGCGAACAAAGCTCCTACTGCATGGCTCCTCAGGAATTGACAGGTCTCCACAAAAGGCATCGGCATTCATTGGTTGATGTATGCTAGAAAAATGCCCCCACCATAGCGAACTGCCGCCATGGCTGTTTTGTTATGACCCAACAGCATTCATAAATGAGCGAAATGAGCTGAAAATGAAAACTCTAGGAGTAGGGGACAAGAAAACGTTTAGAGCCACAGAATGATGAGTTTTGGCCTTCTAGACCTGGAAACGTAGAGTTCTAGGGAAGGGATTCCGTGCTAACGTAGTTTAGTGGGCCATTCGGCGGTTCTTCTGCGTCTCTTATCCTGACTAAGGCCTAGGTTTAGAGGACAGATGACCAGGTCCGCTTAACGTCACTCAATTTTCTGGTCCTCTCTTGCCTTCATGGTGTTCTATGACCGCCACGATCTCACACATCCAAACTTTTCATATGTGTTAAGTGGCTCGCACACCCTCAAGACCTAACTTTACAAAGCTTAAGCAGCCGTTGTCCTCCACCTGTCTGCGCTATGTTTATGTGATTTTGGTCGTTTGCGCATTAAACCCAAGCATTGGCTCAACTACGTTAGCCCTAGGAGCTCTGGGTGAATCAGCTCATTGGAATCATCAACCATAGCTCCTCCCTCGCATACCTGTGCCACATCAGCACCGAATTCTGTATTTTGAAAGTATAAACTGGTATGAGTTTGAGAATGAGCTTCTTTTATAGCACCTCTATTTGAGTTATTATTCCCAAGTGATTTTCGGGCATGATTCTTATTTTTCCTCAAGAAAAGTCTTGCTAGTATTGCCTAAGGCATTGTTCACAGCTTGCGACCCTGACGAATAAGAGAAAAAGGGAGAAGCAATAAAAAAATCGACCGGAGAATCGTCGAATGTTTTGGCGAAATGTCGGTGCTGTTCGGCGTTTCGGCGAAAAGGGTTAGATACGTATCGATTTCGCTGACTCCGCCTTTGAAAAAAAACACCGGAGTGGATGGCGTCAGCGTTTTCGCGCAGGCGAAATCCAGAGCCGAAACGTATCGAAACCTTTTCGCTGAATCGCCTTTGATACGTATCAAAATCTGTTCGCGGAAGCGCTTCTCTCTCCGATTCTATTCAAGTGGCCACTACGTTACCAATGATATCCTTCGTGCGATTTCTCTCCGATTTTCCATAAACGGCAGATTTTTTCTGAGACTCATTCAGTTCGTTTTTTCGCCCACATGATCGTCATTGGACGTGTATTTTGCAGTTTGAAAAATATCATCGAGGAGGATTTGAACCGAAGATGACTAGAAGAGAAGCAGCAATGATTCTCGGACTACCTGCTACAGCTAAACCAAATCGAATAAAAGAAGCTCACAAGCGGATCATGATCGTCAATCACCCTGATCGAGGTATGCTCCATTGGGCAAAAGTGAAATCCTTTTTGTAACAGTTGGCGTTCTTCTCAAATAAGTGCGCTCAATATCTATGAGATGCAATGGGCGCGTCCGCATACTTTGTTTGAACACGGCGTACGGTAAGAGTGTTCGTGGGATATTTCAGTTTGAGACAACTGTCATGCTGCGTTGTACTGGTTAAAGGCATGATTGCCATTGTCCCTGTATAGATACCGTATCTCAGTGGAAGTGTAGCCGTTGCATCGCTCAAAACACGTACGCGACCACGCCCACTCCATCTAAGGGGTATGGAGTATGTGTCAGTTTCAGTCACCCAGACAAGGCAGTAATCTTGTTGTTGTCCTAAACCTGTCTTATCTTGTTGTGCTAATATCAGACTATTTTGCTGGACTAGGCCTCATTTGGATGTATTAGGTTGTCCCAAAAGTTCGTGGACATTTTTTGAATCTCGTATCAGATCTTTCCGCAGCCATTTCGAGATCCAGTTATGTGGTCTATGGGAAGTGTGTGAGGTAAGCATTCCACAGCTTCTTCACCGTCCCTCGCAGTCGCTGTTCTCATATGAAAAACGGTAATTGAAATTCATCATTTTCGACACACTTCGCTATATGAATCTCTACCAAGTCACAATGTCTACTCCACAGTTACGGCTATTGGAATGGAACAATTGCTTCGCCGCTCCAGTGGATTCTATCCGGTGAAAACGTCGTCAAGAGGCGCACGCTGCCTTGGGGAATTGGAATCTACTGTGTTCCTTGATTAAAACCAGTTCGTACGAATCAACTTGCTATCTAGTCCTTACACTTGACTGGTCCCAAAGCACAAATGAGAGAAGGCCTCGCTCCCTTAGAAAAGTTCTGAAGTTCGGTCAAAATTTTTCTCATCAGTTGACCAGTACTCCAAGGGGAGCACATGTGGGTACTGTCTACAACTTTTCTCCCGCTTCCGCTGTACGGACTGGTTGAACAGCACTGTAACTGGATATGGAGTGGGTGCCTCTAGGTGAATCAATCCCGGGAGCGCCAGCGGCTAGATCCCCCAATGAAAGGATAACAGGAGACCGATCGCGCAAATCCCGATCATGTAGGGACCGAGCAGTTTTACCTACTCCACAGATCCCGAAGCTTAGCGAGAAATCCTCGCCACAGGTCTTCGTGTAGCGCTAAACTTAGCTCCTATTCACAAATCGACGTCTAAACTAATCCCACAGCGGCCATCTCTAGCGTAAAAAAAAAATAACAGAAAAAAAAATACGATTTTTGATAGTACCTCAAAAATGACCCAGCTGCCTTTCTGGGCACAGAACCAAGAGGCTTCTGGAAGCAGGGCAACCACACATTGCGTAGTGATTGGCAACAAGTTGCCAATGAAGGTGACATATATATAGTTGATCAAAATTGCTTCCCACTGGAATAAACTTAACTCGAAAAAATGTTCGAAAGTTCCACGAACTTTTGGGACAACCTAATATGCTATCAAAATGAGACCAATATTAAGGGGTTGAAACAATCCACACTTTTGAATCTTTCGAGCTTTTTGAAGTGATTTTTCGGTCTCATCTTGTTATTACACATTCAAAACATAATAATCAAAAAGATTATGGATAGGTAGTTCCATAGAGAATGTTAAAACTGCTGACTGCTAGATTCATGGAAATTTACTCTACTGCTGAGCTGAGAGGGTAAAAGCGGCCCTGGTGGCGTAACGGATAGCGCACTCGCCCGGAAAGCGTGAGGTGCGGGTTCGACTCCCGCCTGGGGTTCGACTTTTGCCCATAACTCAGCATTCTTGTGGTTACTCTACCGTTTTTCAGTCTTGGTTCATTGCTTTTCACAATTGCTATTTTTAGGTGGATCGCCATACCTAGCCTCGAAAATCAACGAAGCGAAAGACTTGCTGGAATCATCAAAGACGTGACCTTAGTCTTCACTCGTATTTTTAGAGATTTTTATGATATTATACTGGTATTTTCCTATTATTGCGTGTTGAACCGTGTGCTCCTTGTGAGTAGCTCATCGATATAGAGAGCAGTTTGCTCAGATTTGGTGCTAATAAAGCATGAAGATAGGAATTAAATTGATCACTTTGATATGAAATCGAGTTAGCAAGATAAACATTCACTAGACAATAGACAAAAAATGTGGGTGGTGAGCATGCGGTCGCAAAGCGGCTAGGGGCAGTCTACTGGCTAGTGGCTACACGCAAAACTATTGAGTATTAGGTCATCCCATTCAAATGTGCCGTCGGTTTTTCTTCGAATAAAACAATGAGGAGAATAGATTAAAAA